GAATTGCGGAGCAGGAACAGAAGTAGAAGTTCGGAGGCGCGCAAGTGACTTTTTTAATGTGGATTCAGCCCGATGGACTGCCTTGGAAGTGCCTTGAAGGCGTGCGGCGGACTGGGCCTCGGCACGGACGGACATTGGATGGGAGGACCGACACGGAGCCACCGGTCAGTCGGTAATGCGCGATCGTCTCTCCTTGGAAAATAATGCCGCCGGAGAAAGACCGCAGAATATGCACCGGCATTTGATACAGATGTGGAAACCTGTGGCGACCGGAATGTGGAGGTGTAATTGTGCTGTGACCGGTTTCGAGGCTGATCGCGAAAGTAATCGCGACAATATATCGAACCACTGCCATACACCCATGTGGTGGGTGCACAAGCTTCTGGCATATCTTCCTTCAAACCGTGCCCATGAGGAACTTCCAGTGGAAATCGGTGCTGGTAATATCAAGCGACGGAGTCACGTCCCGTAGACTCGGTAATTTCTCCACTCCATTGGTCGTACCACTTCCGTTGATTTTAGGCAGTGACAGATTGTGGAGGAGAGACACAGTCCGTCCCGAGCCTGTCGCTAGCTCAAATGTGTTGCCGTTCGGGCTTCCCCTGCCCATTGCATCGTGCAGCGCTAGTCTCATGACTGAAGTGATGCGTCGGAAGCGTTCAAACGCGTCTTCTTGACTGTCTTGAGCATCGCGAGGGCGAGGCATTTGCGAGGATAGCTGTTCGCGATAGTAGTCGAATGACTTCGCTATTTGGAGCTCGCTAGCGTCCCAACCCGGCATGGGCGAGGCGTGAATGGCCAACTTGCTCAAGCTGGTGATGGTGTTGATTAGGTTGAGCCAGTCGATCAGCGACACGAAATCGAAATGTTTGGTCGGGAGCTTTGTGCTGTTGTCGAGGAACTGTTCGACGGACCGGACCAGGGTGACGCGTAGTGATAGTTGAAAGCCCGAAGCCCACGGTGTACTATCGCGATCTACGAGATCGATGGAAGCTGCCGTTCGATACAGGTGTATGCGTGCTGCAAGCTGTAGCCATTGTAGTATTGCTAGTCAGGGATTAGCAATTGCGAACGTTACAGTGTTGTGAATGCTTACTGAAATCTTTCGCTTGCAGCTTGGATGCAAGACGAATATTCTCCCACTTGTCGCTCAGTCGTTTGACTTGTGTACGAACCACCACTGCTTGCTCTGACTGGTTACGGAAAGTCTCCTCCACGTCCTCCATATATTGGCAGACATCCGTTAGTATTGGAAGGACGGAATCTGACGTGTTTTCCCACGAAGAGGCTAGTTCCGACGCGTAGTTCCGGAGTGTGCTGGTGTGCGTCATGGTCCTTGCTTTGACTGGCTCCATCAGACCCAGGTTGGAGGATAAGTAGTAACATCCCAAATAAGCCCGTTTGGCTTCCCTGTCCCGCGGGCTTTCCTTTTGTAGAGGACTCCTCACAGTCCTCCCTATGCTATCCAGACCCAGGTCGTGTGCAATACCCAAACACAACTGAAGAAGCATCGTGATGGAAACGGCTTGGACGTCCATGTAGTGATGGTGCCAGGCTATGAAGACCAAGAGTCCCTGCAGGAGGTCCAAACTCTTTTCGCCTTTCATGATCCGAACCATGACCACTTTACGAAACTCTAGGCTCAGTGCTCTCTGGAGTGGGACGGAATCGTAAGAAGAGACTGTTAGTACAGCAAACATCAACATCGGCCGGCTCTGGAAGAGGTCCTGACAGCGGGCGTCCCTCGGTAATGACACAAAGGGAAAGAAGTCGACCATGCTGCGATACGTGTCGAGCAGCATCTGCATATGCACCAGGCTGATCGATCTGATAACAGGATCCAGTCGGCCAAGGCAAGACAGTGTGTCGTTCATTGATTCCCAGAATGGCGCCGAACTTTCGGACTGATTCGCATGAGCGGGAAGTGATAATGTCCTCGGAGCAGGTGGCATTGAGACAGGCGGAGCGGTGATTGGTGTCGGCGTCGGCATTTGCTGTGTGGTATCCAACAATTGCGATGGGATGGTGGCTACCGATGGCAGGCTACATTGTGTCGGAGCCGGTGCCATTGTCGCAACAATAGCAGACAACTTGTCTAGCTTCTTGTCGAAGTCGCGCAACTTGGTGGGTGTTTGGCCATCGCTGCGCGCCTTTGCTGGCCGCCTGCGCGCAACATGTTCCACACACTCGACTCTTGCCTTCTGGCATCTGGGGCACGTGTCATTCAATGTGGAGCAAAAATATGGCTGGGGTAAACAAACCTCTGGCAGAGAGCCGGCGTGTCGGATGGAACGCAGCGAACCTTGTGTTTTCGACAGCGCTCGCACGCAAAGGCGTTCCCTATCCTCCCTTCTTTTGCGTCCATGGCGGGGACAGAACTGGCAGTCTTGGGGGAAGGAGAGCCATCGGCCTCCGGCTGGGTACCCAGGCTGCTCATGTGGGGAAGTCCGATCATGTGGTGCCAAGTCCGGGGTCAAACTGCAGTTGTGAATTGAGTCCCTCAAACGCGCGTAACGGGTGCACCAAAGATCAACGCTATGCTGACAGGCCGGAAGGCAATGCCGCAAGCCATTGCATCGGAACAACTTCGACACAAGAGCCTTTGAATGCGTTCCGCCGAGGGCCCGTCTATGTGGCGGTGCGAAATGATCAAGATACCTCGGGTAGTATATGTCGGTATATTGATGGTCCGCTTGGAACCGGTTGCTTACTCCCGACGGTCTGGGGGCGTGAAAGCCGCCTAATTGCCCTGGCGGAACTGCTCCGAAGCTCCATCCGGCACCAGTGCTGATAAGTCCGTCATGTCACGTTGCGCCTCGAATTGAATGGACGGCAATGGTGATGACCTCCAGTGCTGGACATAGCAAGCGGCGCGACGCTACCGTCATAGTTTCCTCGCTCTTCTCCGCCCAATTTCAATCATGACTCACCTCTAGTGCCACAACCACGACGAAATGACCCAGAAAGCGCATCGCGACTATCAGGATGGCTTCGCCGGGAGGATAGGATGGGGTAAACGTCCGGCGCTGCTACTTGTCGATGTCTGCAACGCCTACTGGAACGATGCCAGCCCATTGGACACCAAGTCGAACCCTGCGTCTGCGGCGGCGCCCGCGTCCATCGCAAAACTCGTCTCTGCCGCCCGCCAAGGCAAAACGCCGTTGATCTGGACACGAGTCGAATACACGAAGCCGGACATGTCGGATGCGGGCCTCTTCTACAGCAAAGTACCGCTACTAAAGCTGTTCCAAGTCGGCTGCGGGGACGGCCTCGAAGATTGGTATACTGGTTTAGAGCCCGCCGCTGGTGAAATTGTCGTCCCCAAGCGCTACCCGTCCGCATTCTTCGGGACCGATCTGGCTGCGCAACTCCAAAGTCGCAACGTCGATACTGTCATAATCTGTGGTGTCAGTACAAGTGGTTGCGTCCGCGCGACTGCCCTCGATGCCATGTGCTGGGGATTTCGACCAATGGTGACCGACTTGGCAACGCATGAGTCCCTGTAGACGTCACTAATCATCATTTCAGGTTGTTGGAGAAGCATGCGGTGACCTGTCACCTGCTGTCCACCAGGCAAACCTTTCCGACATAAACGCAAAGATGGCAGATGTTGTGTCTGAGGATGAAGCAATTCAGAAGCTGCAGGCTGGATGGGACTGAGCGGGCCGCGCGGCTACGGTACTACGCCGCAGAACTAGTTCCAGGAGGTAAAGCTCTTGTTGCTGTAAGTTAATACAGTCATCTAGGTCTCTCTCAAGCTCGCCTACATGAAGCCGAGCGAGTTTCTCGTGTACGATACTGTGTCGCGAGGATATGTGGAGATGGCGGCCACTACGAACGACAAATAGCACGGACAATTGATAGACTAGTTTTCTAATTCGAGAACTTGCAAAAGAGCCAAGGGAAAGGAAAGACGGACTGTAGAAGAGATAGTCAAGGTGCATGATCTAAGAGGAAGGTGTGAAGCGTGGCGTGATGGTCGGTTCTTTCTCCTCACTAACATTTCACTTTGGCAACCGCGACCCCGGCACTGGCTTTACACAGACACGCAAGCGGTTCTTCAATACTCACTGTTTTGGAACCACTGCTTCACAGCGCGTTACGTTATCACTCAAAATCACTCACATCACTAGTCACAATGCCGACAAAACCTTCAAGCAGAACCTTGGAACCCACGAGCAGGCACGCGTCCGGTCTCAGAGCACATTTGCGCGTTTGCTATCGAGCACGATATCGGCGTCTCTAGATGCACCTTCTAATCCACAATACCCTCGAAAGTGACGCGATACTGTGCCCAACTTAAGCACATCAACCACACTTGGAGCCTTCCAATCACAATTCTCCACCAGCGCCAGCGCCAAACCAAATTCTGACATGAAGCAACAAAACTCAGCGCTCCCGATACTACAGCACACCCCTTACCCCGGTGCAGAACCTGTGCCCGATTGCGTGTGGGTATGCTGTGGATGCAGAAGAAGATGGGAGACGAAGGAGCTCGGCAACATCTGTGTCGGCTGCAGTCACAAATACTCCGTTGACTGTTGCCAGCTTGCCGGATAGCAAGTCGTTGCGGGGGCGATGAAGATATGACACGAGGACGAGTTAAGGTGCGCCAGACTACGCTCTTGATCTAACAAAGGCTAATATAGCGGCACACTCCAGCTGGTAACATTCCCAGCGGTCAGTGTGTACGAAACAGTAGTTGTAGCCGTGGATGAATGTGATGGTGTCAAGCGCAATCAAAAAAAGTATCTATTGGTGTGCGTCTCTCTTCAATGCCATCAACTACGAAATGTACTTCGCTCATGCTTCACATAGGCAACGTGCTGTACTCCAATCGCTCCTCCAACACAACTACTCGGCATTCATTCGCCCATAAAGCTAGCACCCAACCCTGCTCAACTTGTCCGATGGCTCGATCTGATCGCATCCTTTCCATACACAAGCAAGCTTTCCGTCAGCTGTACTACCATCTCTCCCGACCACTTGAATCCAGATGCTCAGGGTTTGGTGCCCAGCGACCACGGCAGTTGGAAATCTCCTTGGGGGCCTACCCCAGACGACTTCTTTGGTCTCCACATGGCGAAGATTGGCGGAGGCGTCAGCTCATGCGCGCACTTCCTCCACTCGTCGCTGGCTTCCGATTTCTCATTGTCGAAAGCAATCTTCAGCAGAGACTGAAATCCAAACTTCTCGTAAAGCGGTTTTCCCATGGCAGATGCTTCCATCCAACATTCGAGATCAAGCCCGTCCGCGCGTGTAATACCAACGTGCATGAGTAGAGAGCCAACACCGCGATTCCGATGGGCAGGGTCTACCGCCATCCAGTTGAGTGCTAATACTAAGTCAGCGGCAGGAAGAAGATCATTTCGACTTTTCGCACATTCACGTTTCTTCATCCGGAAATAGCGCGTTTGAGGAAAAAGGAAATGCTCCACTTACCACAGTGTGGCCGCGTCATCCAATTCGCTCGCGGCCTGTACACCTGATTGAGTATTGACTCGCAGAACCTCCGATATTCGCCTTCGGGCCACCACGGCGCGGTCAACTTGGGTGTGCCTGCTGCGAATGGGTTGACGATCGAAATAACCCATTGCGAGCAACCAACAGTATTGTTAGTGACTGTGTCGAAAGCGTAGAACCAGTGGCTGCTATTATCCTCTTGATGTTGTTTCCAGAAGCGTTGCTTCGATTCGGCGACGGCGAGGTCGCGATGGGCGCTCGTGTAGCCAAGGACCGGGAAGAACAGTTGCATGAACGGCTCATAAGGTGTGTAGTTCGCAGCCCAGATAATATCCAGTATCTCATCCAGCTCTTGCTTTGTCTTTGCCTCCCGAATCACGTATCGTTGTCCCATGGCAGCGGATTGGCGATTGCGTCAAGCCATGGCGACATCGGCCAGGTAAAGTAGTCTGCAAGTGCGCTACCTCGCCGCCGCTGCGCATTGACAGCGCAATCGGAGATATAGCTTGACCCAAGTATTGGACATCGTAGATTGCCGTGTTAGGGTGAAGTTGCCCAACAAGGAAGGTACCGTCGACACATTTAGCGTCTTGGCGAGGCTGGCAAGTAACACCCTTTCGCCCCAGCACACCTTCCCCGATAGCCCCTCACTTTTACACACATCCAGCCACTCGGTAGCACTTGTATCGCTATCATCATCTCCAGATGCTTGCGACCTTCCTCGATCGTACGCGCGCCGCAAGACAGATTTCTCGGCGATGTAACGATGGACCGAGGCTGGTCGCGTCGCTATTCATTCATGGTCCGCGCTCGGAGCGGTGCGATTGGGGTATGGTGTTGTCGGGACGGGCTTGCGACGTATGTTTGTGAAACTCGAGGCGAATTCTGTGACACCCAATGAGCGCGCTCCGTCTTATGGAGCCGTGGAGGCTTGCTTTCTACATTCACTCCACAAAGCGGATCGAAGAATGGAGCGACCTCCAGCATATGCGCCAGTCTGCAGCGATGAACAGGAAGAAATCCTAGCAGAGCTAGAAGAGAAGGATGGCGTTTCCTGGAACTCTAAGAGTACTGAGATCATCCCGACCAACACGCGCAGCTTCGTGGCGTACATGTCTATTCTGCTGCTCTCTCTTTCGGCGAACATCCTCTTGGTGATGGACAATGCAAGGCTTCGAATTGCGCACAGTCCAGCTAAGAGCAACTACAGTAAGTGACAGCCTGATCGGTCTGATGCTAGCTTACGAAGTTCAAAGGTGGATTAGCCTACGATACTACTGTGCCATGTCACGCGACGACAAAGTACTGGCATCCGAACGCCAGTGATAGTGATATGGAAGCAGCATGGGACGCTATTGACACCAATGCCATGGCAGTCACGCTCGACGACAGATTCGCAAAACGTGTCGGTCTACCCAACTCTACTCGGTTTCCATGGGATACCGAGCGAAGCATCTACTACGTCAAAGGAATCCATGATCTGCATTGCCTTGTAGGTATACATGATGATGTTTGTGTTCATCCGCTGATTGCATCAGAAACTCATCCGGAAAGCCATCGTATCAAAGCATAACGACAACCCACAGCCCTTCAATCTCCTTCACATCTACCACTGCCTTGACGGACTCCGGCAGGACATCATGTGTAATGCGGACGACACACCAATACCAGCCCCTGTTACACATCAGTCGGGCGAAGGTCAGCTCCGACAGTGTCGTGACTGGGACAAGCTGATTGCATGGGCCACGCGTCCTGACCAACATGCTTGCTACGAGTTTGACGATTATCGCGAGGCAACGAACACACTGGAAAACTTTGCGTTCTGTCCCCAGGGTTCACCTTACCGGGAGTTCCAAGAGGCTTATTTCCGGTATCATGGACACAAAGACGCGTATGAACTGTATGGTGACGAAGAAGAAATCGTGGTTTTCTGAAGTCGTGGCTGGGATACACCTTAGGCATACCTGGTGTGGGAACGTTCCTGGTCGTTTGCGCCAATTAAAATACGAATGTACCTGTTTTGAAACTTAATCGCGGTAGCAGGGACCACTTTATCGTCAGAAATTCCGATGAACATGCAGCTTAATATCGATGGAGGCTACACTACATGATCAGCATCAGCCACTAATGGTCGAACGCCATGGGTCGGAAGGGTATGTACATCAGATCTGCCCTGACCACGAAAAGCGTCAGGCAAATTCCGCGGCGAACTCCAAGGTCAACCGATGTCCCATGCCGTCAACGCTTCCTTATATCGGCCCGGGTCAACTGCATTGTTACGATGACCGTGCGGCGAGAAGACAAAAAGCGCAGTGCGACACTGGCAGGAGTAAGGTAATCATAGAGAGTGGATGAGCGCCGCCGAAGACATGCGCTTCTGAAACCTCGGAATGGCATGATTACATACGAGAAGTAATAGTTCCGAAAATACTACGCTGAGGTACGTAGCAGTCGACACATATATTTCGAGGTGAAGCACAGCAAATTCAGCACCACCTTCATCCCGTTCGCACACTATTTTCGACGTAAGCAAGAATATCTTCGGGCACGTATACTCACTGACGCTGACCAGTACCAAAGGAGCTCACCAAGCACATCAATTACCAACTATCTACCATGCACGCTACTATCGTTCTGCTTCCGCTGCTTGCCTTCGCGATGGGCATCGCTGCAGCTCCAGCACCCCTGCATCCCGTTGCCCGGGCCGTACCAGACATCAACGAAGTCGTCCGAAACCCGGCTCCCATTGATCATCATGTCGGTTGGGACGACCATGGCAAACCGACACTCGGAGATATCAGCCACCTCAGTCCAGAGGACATTAAGAAGCTTAAAGACCTCATCAAGCATCTACTTGGTGGCAGTCACTCTGCATAGGAGGCTGTCGGAAGTCGTACATGGAGGAAGTGATATCATCCAAGGTATGCGCTTGACACTTTGCTTCTCTAGGATATAGCTAAGAAGTGCAGCTCCCAGACTTCTCCTATAGACAAGTATGCTATCTACCTGCGCATACGAAAGAGGTGGAGTCCTTCACCCTCATGCGTCGTTGCTTCAGCCCACAGGGCCGCCATAGCAACATGATCAAATACGACTACTTTCGACATTTTCACTGCTCTATCTTGCTCAGCCCTGAATATGCCGATCTGTCTTGGCTAATTCCACAGCCTTTTTCATGCAACAACCTGTGAGCAGCCATCATCTGACGGGCAGCGCCACCACTGCAGCGACCGCCCCACTGCAGGCTCGCGTATCAATGGAACACTGCACAAGATATGTGCTGGCAAATGTTCCACGACGGCATTGGCCAATTGACCATCCATCGCCCAGCAACATACAGTCGTGACACAATGCCGAGCCTGGTGTGTCACAAAGGTCACACCACGGCAGGAAATCCCAGAGTGAGCTAATTAGCGATCGAAAGATGACGAGTGTCGTCTTCGCTAGCAAGCTAACACACCGGCTTTCCTCCGCCGCTTACTCCCGTAGCTTCCGACGTGTACCTTTCACTAACATACCAGCGAATCTTGACCTGACCCGAACGTCTGGCGCAGTAGCACGAACTCCTCTCTGAAACTGAAGAATGTCCAACCGAGGATACACAAGCGTCTGTTCGACCTTGCATGTTCGTCCCTCTGTGTGGCTACACCTGCGCAACCTCGTACCGCCGCTTCCTGGTCTAGCAGACCCCTTTCCCCCGGCCTACTAACAATCCAACTGACTTCGCTTGTTTGCAAGTGTCTCTATCCAAGATTAAGAGCGGATAACGACAGCGTGTGCTATGTTGATTGTGAGCGAGCCCTCAATGCAGGTTACCTTCACTGTGGCAGCTCGCAACTCCACATTACTTGCACATCATGTCGGTATTAGACGGTTGAGCGCGTTTGTAAGCTCTAACTTTATACAAACGAACAAACGGCCTGTTTGCACGCCTTTTCTTGTCTCTTCTGGCGCGTGATAGGCCGCGCATAATACCTCGCTACCTATTACTGGCGCACTCACTTCGTCGGTATCTAGCCATTCTAACCTCGGAGACGATGCAATGATGCCGCAATCTCTTTTTGCTTCTTCCCATCATCCCCTCCCGCGCGAACCGGGAAGCAGCGCGGATGTCGGTCCGTACATCAATGTGGTTACGTGGGTTCTCTTGATTACCTCCGCGTTGGCGGTCCTGACTAGGCTTGTTACCAAGCGGGCGTTGAGGCGGAACTTAGACATTGATGATGGTTTTGTCTTGTTGGCTTTGGTACGTCACGTTTGATTGAGCTGGATTATCGTTTCGAATCCCGCTTTTGCTGACTGATGGGGAATAGATTGCGACTATAGGTTCTGGTGTCTCTGTCAGTGCCCAGACAGGTCATGGCCTTGGGCGAGACATCCTGCTGTTGACTGAGGATCAGATCTTGGCGTATCAGAAAGTAAGCGGCTTAGTGACTGTTGACTACATTGATATTCTGCTAAGTTATTTTGTAGGCCGAGTATGCGAACAAGCTGCTCTACATCGCAACTCTATGTTTCGCAAAGTTGTCCATCATCTCGCTGCTAAAGATTCTGACCGCATCAAAACTACACCGGACCTTAGGCTTGCTACTCACCGTCTTCATCGCTTCTTGGAGCATCCTATCCGGACTTGTGTCTGCGTTTCAGTGCGGCGCTGAAGAGCCATGGCGCTTCCTTGAGAGAGGAGGGAGATGCTTCGACTTGGTATGCAAGAATTCTGCCGTCTTCATTGAAATTGCTGACACTTCGAGGAGGCCGCTTTTTGGCAGTCCGTGGGCGTCGTGAACATACTGACGGATTTGGCACTCATACTGTTCCCGGTTCACGTTATCATGACGCTACAAATGAGTACGAGCAAGAAAGTTACGATCTTGACGTTCTTCGGCGCACGATCACTGTAAGTTCTGCATATATATATCACAGTAGTCACCTACTAATATGCCACAGAGATATCGCAGCAACCGCCGCCCAGATGGCGTTCCTCCACGGCTTCGCTTCACCCAACCCGACGAAAGACCTCTGGACATGGACACTCGTCACTCAGATCATTGAATGCATCACCATCCTAACATCATGCGTACCCTACCTACGACCGCTTCTGGAGCACGTCCCATCAGGTCTCTACGGTACCGACGACATCCGACGCCGAGGTACGACCACAGAGCACGGCTACTCGCGCACCAAAAGCAATTCGTATCAGCTCTCCAGCATAGCTTCGAAAGTCGGTGGCGGAACAAAACATAGCCGGAAGAGTCAGGTGGAAGGTGGCGGGCTCAAACGCTTCCTACCAACACTCTCGCACAATAGAACGACAAATGCCAATTCTGCATCGGGCATCCCTGGAGGCCCTCCGCGACCTGACGGCGAAATAGATGTTGAGATAACAGCTGCACATCACAAGGACGGAGACGAGAAGCGGTGGGATGATAAGAGGTGGGAGACTGCAAGTACGGGAAGCTTTCCGAAGATCCTGAAGACTACTGTTGTTAGTGCGGAGTGGGAAGACGTAGGAGCAAAGCGTGGCGATGCGTCCAGTGATGAGATTGCGATTTTGCGTTGATGTTCGCTCGTTACGGGTGCGTTTGCGGTAGCATCAAGAGTTCTATATCCATTGATCTGGTGCTGAAATCCAACCAATCCAATGCTGTACGATCTTCATGATTCTTTCACTGTGTCAAAAGAATTACGACACGTTTGTTGATCATTGTCGACGTCGAAATGCCTGAATAATGTGACATCATACGCTTGAGATTACAGTCAATGCTCCGGCGATGTGGTATCCCCGTTGGCCTGTGAAGCTGTGCGAAGGTTTTGCAGTGCCAATCGTCGCGTGGCTCACGCACGGGTATCAGCCTTGAAGATTAGTGAGCTGATTCCAATTGCAACTATCCGTCTGAAGGTTTGGAACTGATATGCCACTTAGCTGCGAGTACCCAGTCGAAATTGCTTATAGGCTAGAGAACCTTGAATGAGTTTAACTTGCACGCGAGGTGGGTCAAGCCCGATACCAAGTCGGCATTCAAGTTAGCCCCACGCTTGCTCCAGTCAACAGGAAGTCGTGCGTCTTTTTGGGCTTTCGCCCCCTGTAGCATGCCGCACTTGGAGTTCTGCTAGGAGATGTAACGCGGCATGCCTGTGGCTGCATATGTCAGCCTCTAAGAGTAGATCGAGATGCAACACGCGTGAACTGCATCTGCGCAGGTTCCCGACAATAGTACGATGTCTGAGAGTCACGCTGAGGCGTGCAGGTGATGGTAGTGAACTCTGTGCAAGGGACAGAATTGCTAGACGCCACATTGAGATCGGCCTGGTTGTGTTCTGGTAACACATTCTCTGCTGGCATGGAACCTCTAGGACACAAAAGCACCACACGAGTCGTTTGGAATGCTGGAACAGATATCGCGATGCGTCATGATAGCCGTTGAGAATGCGTGCACGGATGGAGGAGGCGACTTCCCACATGGGCGGTCGATTACTAACTAGCGTCACACAAGATGGAATGAACCCCGGAGCCACCCCTTCCGTCTTCCCTCATTCCCCAACCACCGCACCGCTCATCGTCCAATTCGTGCCACGGACAATCTGCCGGGAGGTCTATGCCTTCGACTACAACGGTATGACAGCCGTTATTGTGACCACATGCCGCATGCTCTACCCTCGATCAGCATGCCGAAGGGAGACTACGGCGGCCCAATGTTGCACGCTGAGTGACATGCAGCGACGAATGACGCTCTGAACCCCTTTTCGCGATTGTAAGCCATCATGATCTACTGCTGAGTTCGGGAGGTACGAACGCCTCTTTCATGGGCATATGCAACGCGCGACACCCCGGTGCAAACACACATCTGTCCGTTCCAGCATCGACCATGCCGTTTGACAAACACGCGAAGACTGGGGAATGTTAATTTCGCCTCTGCCACACTTTATGCATACGAACAAGGGGTCTGCAGGAATGCATGTCACCGCTTTGCGCAGGTTAGGCACCCAATGGTGTGCGACCGAGGCACCAATCAACGCCCGTTTCACTGTGGGGTGCCCTCTGAAACTACGACTGCAGTGCGATACGTCGACTTGCGAGCTGCCGCCGTCACTGCAGAGAGCCTACAACTGCCTTTGCGGTGCGAAACGTTGGCTTGGTGTCTTTCACTCGGACGCTTAGTTGCATTGCCGAGCAACCGCCTCCTAGACCGACCTCACTACCGTCTTTGCCGGCGATCACCGTACTACCGCATCCACCCGTGGACATCTGCACATGGCGCACGTTACCTCTGGAAGAGATATATATCGAGATTTACTTGCATTGCATGCGTCCTGTATCACGACCCACCTTCTGGGTATCTTCTTTCCTTTTCTGGTCCACCTGCTTGCCCGACATTTGTTACTACGTACTGCGGTCGTATCCGTCTTGTTGCTCAACACGCCTCGGATTGAAAAGCTGGAACCAAGGCTATCATGGAGAAGCATATCGAACTACAGAGGTTCAACCATGAGCCTCTGCGGCCGAGGGGCCGGGGCTCCGTTTCGGAAGGCAAAGGCCGGCAGTTCGATAACGACAGATATGAATTGGCTAAAGTCGGAAAGAAGCAGGTGCTGAAGGTAGGCGCTGACTTGCCAATACGTCTGCTCGGTCTGATCATGGTAGCGTCGCTTCGGACTGGTGTCGATGACGGGTCTCTCTTGTGGGTTGATGTGCACTTGGGAGACTCTGCTTGTGTAAGTGAACGTGACTGACACCATTTACTTTGCTGACGTCGTGGCAGTATCTTTTCGATAGGCTTCCAGAAGTAAGCACCCATTTATACAGGAAGTCGGCAGCAACTAACGATGTAATTACAGCGGCGGACCCGCCGGCCTCATTTACGGCTTCATATTGATATGGCTGGGCAACTTTTCTGTCTTCGTCTGCATCGGTGAACTTGCAAGCGCCGTCCCAACTTCTGGTGGCCAATATCACTGGGTCTCTTTACTGGCGCCGCGCTCAAACAGGAAGTTTCTTAGTTACGTGACTGGTGAGTTCGTCCACTTTCAAGCCATTCCAATCATGTTAATTATCTTAGGTTGGCTCACTGTCATCGGATGGATCGCAGCTCTTACTTCCGTATGCTACTTCGTAGCCGACTTAATCCTGCAGTTGGTCAGTCTGAACGACCTCGAGGGCACATATGTCCGCGAAGGCTGGCACGGCACGCTGCTTCTCTGGGGCATACTGCTCTTGTGTGTCTTCATCAACGTCTTTATAAGCGGAGCGCTTCCCACGATCGAAGTCGTCGTCCTCATCGTCCACATCCTTGGCTTCTTTGGCATCCTAGTACCGCTGATCTACTTGCCATCGAGCCACAATTCGGCCGAGAAGATCTTCACGATGTTTCACAATGAAGGAAAGTGGAGCACGCAGGCTCTGGCCTTCTTTGTGGGACTACAGGGCAATGCTTTGGCATTCGTCGGAACAGACTCAGTCGTCCATGTAAGCTCAACATTCCCAATCTGTCTTTCATTGCTAACGAATTAGATGTCTGAAGAGGTCAAGAATGCCAGTACCGACGTTCCACGTTCAATGCTTCTCAGTCTCGTCATCAACGGCACATTGGCATTAGGAATGCTCTTCGCCGTTCTCTTCAGCGCCCACGATATCACAGGCTTACTCAACGACCAAAAAGCGACAACCGCGCCTTTCCTCCGCATCTTCACACAGGCGGTCGGTTCCGAGGCCGGTGCTACAGTCATGGTTGCAATCATCGTCCTACTCGAATTCTGCAGTGCAATGGGGTGCCTTGCAGCTGCATCGCGTATGACATGGTCGTTCGCCCGAGACCGCGGCCTTCCTTTCTCTCGCGCTCTCAGTATGGTAAGTTCATGACTCGTTGCACTACTACCTAAACGCATCCACTAATACCCCATAGATCGATAAACGCAGCACCATCCCCGTCGTCTCCATCCTCGTCGTAACCGTCTTTGCCGCCCTCCTCGCCCTCATCAACATCGGCAACAGCGCCGCCTTCAATGGCACAATCTCCCTCGTCCTAGAAGGTTTCTACCTCTCCTACCTCCTCGCCATCGGCCTCCTCCTTTGGCGCCGCGTCCGCGGTGACCTAGACAACCCGGACTCTTCGCTTACCATCTTCAACGAAGCGCAAGTAGACGAAGCGTACGACCGCAGTCTGACCTGGGGTCCGTGGCGTCTCAAGGGTGCATGGGGCGTTGCTAACAATGTCGTTGCTATTTGCTACCTTACTCTCATCATCTTCTTCAGCTTCTGGCCTAGCCAGCCCCATCCGGATCTAGTAAATATGAATTGGGCGGGTGTGGTGACGGGGGCGGTGGCCGCATTTAGCGTGGCGTACTACTTGTTGTTTGCCAAGAAGTCGTATACTGGGCCGATTGTCGAAGTGGATCCTCATGTATTGTGATGGGGTTCGGAGTGAGGCTATCTGGCACCTGTAGGATCAGTGTGCAGTGAGACAACGTACCGGAGGAAGGCTCTCGAGAGTTACTGCTGTGTAGTGTATGCTAGGTGAAAAGTTCCGGGACATTAAGGCTTGCAGTTGAGGCTCAACAAAAGCGCGGTATATATAGACTGGAAATACCCATCAACCCGACATGACTTACGAACAATGTAATGAAACTTGCCTTCCATACCTGTGAGGTCTTGAAGAGCTGCCAATGCCTTTCTACACTAGCTCAGACAACCCTCTCAAAACTTCTCTCACTATACACCGATTGGAACGAGAAGTCGTAATCATAATCATTCGTTATCATACATAACTCATAGCATGATGACATTTGCCTGTATATGCGCGCCTTTCAAAGCCAAAATAGTACTCATGTGCAATAGAGCGTGAGAAAAGAAGAAGAAGAAGAATCCAGATAACCGGCCGTAACTCATAAAAAACATCAAAGAAAAGAATGCTGCATCAACAGCCCCATCTCCACCCACCTCCAACTTCCAGACAGAAGCATCCAGATGCCCTGCCACTTTTCCACTCCAAAACCGTGTTGAAATCCCAAGCTTAAGAAAGCGCCCCCATAGCCAACGCCACAATCTTAGGATTCGGTTTATCCTTTCGAACCAGAACTACCAGAAGAATCAACGAGCCGTTCAAAGAAGTGCTAATGGGCCGAGCGAACAAGGGCTAACCTACCCTTCCGGTCTCTGTCAACGCGCATAACCTCCTTGCGGGGCGTACGCTCGACAAACTCATACTCGCGGTCGCCCTCGCGCTCATACTTGAGCATGCGGCGCTCTTCCTCGAGGAAACGGATTTCGTCGCGGATCTCGCGCTCGGAGCGCCGGTCGTCGCGGCGTACGAGTTGTCGGCCTTCGGGGAGGAAGGCTGTGGCCGGGCCGTGGATGGCGGCTGAGCGGTCGATTTCGACGTAGCGCTCGTGTTCGTGGATGGAGGGGGAGGGGGCGCGCTCTGAGGGGGCGTAGACGGTTGGCGCGTGGTGGGATGGGGCGTATATTACTTGGGGTGGGGGTTGTTGGTATACTGATTGTGGGGGTGGAGGAGGTGCGTGGACGACTGATGGCGGCGGAGGCTGGAATTCTTGAGGGGGTGGTGGTGGAGGTGCGATGACTGAGGCTGGTGGTGCAATGGAGGGTGGTGGCGGTGGGGCGTCCTCCACCTTCTCCTCGTAGACGTATGTGATTTTCTCTGCTCACGGTTAGAAAAGTGTTGTAAGGATATTGGCGGATACGTACCCTCTTTGTAGTTCTCGCTGATCTTGATGACCTCGTCAATGTGCTCTTTCTCGAGTGCTCGGGTAACAACGATGAAGTCGTCCTACTATAATCAGTGACATTCCAATAATGCGTGCAGATGGCATACCTCTTCTTCGTATGGGTAGCCCAAGTCGATAACGGCTTGCTTCTTGACCAGGCGCTTGGGGAGTCTCGTCTTGCCCTTCTTGCCCCAGGTGGCTCGGGAAGGCTGGATTTCCTCAAAGCTGGAGATGGAAGAGCTACGTGTCGACTTGGCTGCTACACTCTTGCTTCTTCGGACTCGGCTCTTCTCGCGGTGAACTTCAACTTCGCGGTAGTCTTCTCGTTCCCGGCCCCTTCCGCCACGGTCGTCGTATCGGATCTCTTCAAAGTCATCTTCCTCGTGGAAACGACGAGGTGGTGATCGGCGACGCTCGCGGATAGGAAGTGGAATGGGAACGTTGGCTGGTGGACGCCACTCGTGGTCTTCGTACCTCTCGTACCTCTCTACGTCGCCATAGCGTGGCAGGGGTTTGCGGTCAAAAGTGTCGAGAGATGATTGACGGCGCATGAACTGCGGCCGTGACGGCCTTGGCGGGCGAGGGGCTGGCCGGCGCTCGTTGATGTCGATATCGATGTTGATGTCCTTGTCGATGACGGACCTGCGGCGGTAGGGGGCAAGCGCTTGGTTGGCAATTTCAGAGGGAGTTGGCTCGTGGAACATCTCAGAGGGAGCGCGGCGATGGGGGCGGTCGAACCGATCTTCTTCGTGGTAGCGTTCTCTCTCCATGACAGCGGGGCCTCGGCGTGCGCGGTCTTCATGGAAATCGATGTCACGATGGCCTCCGGGGAAACGATCGTGCTCTTGGAAGCGGTAGTGATCGTAATCGTCGCGACCACCACGGCTGCTACCGCCAGCCACACTTCCGCCCGGTGGTGGCGGAGGAGGAGGTCCCCTTCGCATGCTCTCAAACCTGTCGCGATCCCATCGCTGGGGACCGCCACGAGGCGGCTCGTCAAAGCGGTCCAGATTGCCCGTTGAAGAGCGGTACGCCGACATATTGGGTAGTCAGGCGCGGCTCGTCGATGGGTGGTGATGTAGGAGTAGGGTGCGGGGCTGCCGGTTATGTGTCGGAAGATGTCACAAGAGAATAAGGTGTGCGCTAGGAAGCACGGCAACGGGAATGCGACAGACTGACGGCGGCGCAACAAGCGGACACACGAGAATATAAGTGTCTTGGATCCAAAGCCTGCCGGAGAATTGGTGGTGGGTGGGTGCGACCAACTTTAGATGCAGGATTCGCGACGGGCTTCGTCATCGGCGCTCGCGCATCATGCCAGGGCTGCATCTGGACTGGGCGCTAACCGGCGCCATGACTTGAGGGACGCACCCCTGGTGTTACATGGTTTCTCATTTGTCGCGGAGTTCCCCATGGTTCAGTTTCATGTGAATCAATGTGGACTCGGGCTGATGTTGGGCATTTTCCGCTGTCATGTGAGATCTCGACATCTTCTTCGCCATGATCGGGAGAGGAAATACTTGGTCTTGTTGCCCAAAGGGCCTTTGTAGACACCAGGCTATCCTTACCGTGAGTTCCTGGTCGTCGGCCGTATTGGATGGGATGCATGTCCGCAGAACGAAGTCTTGACAAGCGGTGACGTCAGGGCACGAGCTTGGAAGCGGACCGCGGCGCAGTTCACCGCCTAGCGCAGCCTCAGCCACGGCTGCTCACAGCGTTGCAACGCTGCGGCTTGGGCCTCAAAGGGAACAGAGGTTCCCAACGCTTTCGGCGAAACTTTTGGATGTTGGGTTGTCACAGCTGCCACGTTCTGGGGGCTTACAGACCGATGGTAGCGATACCCCGCAAAGAACGTGTGTACCAAGTTGATGGATCTGCTAACCCCACGGAAAAGCAATAATCGACGATGACGGATACTCTTCGGTGTCGTAATCTGGCCGTCTCTTTCGTTACCTCGTTTGGACAGGAGTCCGTAGTCTACATGATAGATGTACAGTTATGCTACAATCCGTCCAATCCCACTCAGCGCATTCTGTCGCTTATTTGGCTCCAACAGCTTCTTGGATCTTTTTGGTGACATACTCTAGATCAAATGGCCGCCCCTTGAGACCACCCATGACTTTACCCATGACGCTACCAAAACTCCTCTTGCCCTCCTCCAGTCTTTCGATCACGCTCTTGACTAACGCGTCCACCTCACTGTTCTCCACTAGCGGGATCTCCTGCGCATAGCCCTTCAGTACATCCAGGTGCGCCTGCTCTTTCTCGACCAGGTCCTCCCTCTTAGCATTTCGGAACTCTTCAATTGAGGCCGAAGAGGCTTTGATCTGCTTTTGAACGAGGGAGTAGAGGGCTCCGTCCGTTTCGATTGGCTTGGCAGTCTTTGATGCGTTGATGATCTCGGCTTGCAGGGCACGGATTGTGTTGAGTGCAGGCTTGTTCTTTGCGCGCATGGCCGTCTTGAGGTCGGATTGCAGGCGGGGGAGAACAACGTTTTCTGATGCGGAAGTAGACGAGTAGCGGACGCATAGAGAGCGGGCGGGAGTGAAGAGCTGCCTCTGCAGCATTGCTGTGCGGAATAATGACATGGTGATTGTTGCGTTGTAGTGTGGGAGTCGTGTGAGGTAGGAGCGATTACAACTAGAAGGAGCGACCACGGAAGATGTATTTGAAGTGCTGGATTGCGAATGTGTTGAGTAATGGAACGTCGTCAGCCAAACATGGAAAGTTGAAAGCACAAAAGTTTGGACTACCAACGCGCTCAGACGCGAACAGCTAGCATCCCTGCGCGCCAAGCATCTCTTTTGTTGTGGACCGCCGTCACTTTTGCAGCTTGTACCTGAGCCTCAGCGTCGCAATTGCGCCAGAGCACCTTTTTGATCTTTCTCTCGGCGCGCCTTTCTTAATTTTATTGCATCGACGCATCCGCGCGCAGCTCATGTGCACGCCATCTCACCGGCGCGTTCCCCCAACCTCCATCTGAAGCTCGCTCTCACCCGGGCCACGACCAGCGCATCCCTTCGACTCTACACGCAATCCATCATGGCCTTCCAGATGGCGCCTGCGACGCCGCAACGCCCCACCCCCGGCGCCTTCGTCAACACGCCCGCGCCCAACCGGCCGGGCTTCACACGAACTGGCTCCATGTCGCAACCACAGCCGCAGCAACAGCAAGCGCTGCCTGCACCGCCCGCCGAGAGCCCCATCGATCGCGCATCGCGGACCATAAACAGCATGCTGGATCGGGATAACAGGTTTCCCGCGCTAGAGGCGTACATTGGACGTGAGTAGTCAGGTATAGCGGCAGAATCTGGGTGAGATGCTAACAAGGTCGTGTAGAGGGCATCTCTGGCGAGTATGAGATCCCTAATAGCCCAGCCTGGGCGCCCTTTCAGAAGCTGCGGTCCTACAAACTCCCAGAAGCCGTCTTTGAGCAGGTGGACCACACGCAGATGTCGACGAGCATGGGCCTGTTCGCCGAAATCAACCACGCCTGGGTCGTCGTCGACAACCAGGTCTACCTCTGGGACTACACACATCCGAACCCCGAACTCGTCGGTTTCGAAGAGCAACCCAGCAACATCACATGCGTCAAGCTCGTCAAGCCGCGTCCCGGTGTCTTTGTTGGCACCATCGAATACCTCCTCGTAGTCGCGACCGTATCCGACATCTTCCTGATAGCGGTGGAATGCCAGCGAGGACCCGAAGGCGTTCATGGCATCACAATGTATCGAACGGGACTATCGACCTCGGTCAGGAAAATCAACGTGACTGCGATCGCCGGCTCGTCAACAACGGGGCGCATCTTCTTCGGCGACGGCCAGACCGAGGACGTATACGAGCTGAACTACCAGCAGGAAGACAAGTGGTTTTCCAGCAAGTGCAGCAAGACGAACCACGTAACGACCTCCATCGGCCTGCCCACGCTACCATTCTACGGACCTACGCGACAGGCTGGCATCCAGCAGATGGTGATTGACGATACCCGGAACGTCCTATACACGCTTTCTACCAACGGTACCATCAAGGTCTACTACATGCGCGCGCCCAACGTCTTGGAGAGCTCCCTCACCCGGACGCGAACACAAATCGAGACAATGTGCGGACACATTGTGCGGCCCACTGGTGTCCTGGACAAGATGCAGATTATCGGCCTGACACCCATCTCAAGCACAGAGGCGGACAACTTGTCTCTGATGGCCATCACATCCTCTGGCTGTAGGCTGTATTTGAGCACAACGTCTGGAGGACAGTGGAACTCGAACAGCACAAGCGCTCCTAACAGCATGCAGCTACGACACATCCGCTTCCCGCCCAACGACGGTCAGCCCTCGCAGCAGAGCAATTCGACTCAGGTACAGCCATACCAGGGTGGTACAGCGGTTGGATTCGAGTCGAGATACCTCAGAGAGACAACTGTCGCAACCCGTTACGCGCCCGGCGCCTTCTTCTCTTTCGTCCTCCTAGCGCCAAACGATCAGAACCACCACATGTTCGTCTCGGCTCCACACTCCGGATTGCTGGGCCAGCGCGAAACCACAGAGCCCCCGCGGTACACCGAAACTGGTGTGTTCACAGAACTCATGGGCAGAGTGCAGGATATCGGCCTGGTGTCAGAGCCCTTTTCAGCGAGGAATGAACCGCTCGGATTTGGCAACGAGCTTTCGACCCAGTTCGACAAACCCCTAAGTGAATACGCTATCATCACATCAGCCGGTATCGAAACCGTTCGACGGAGGAGGCTTGTCGATATCTTCGCTTCTATTGTGAAGAATGGGGGTCACGAGGGTGCTGAAGGCGACATCCGCAAGCTGGCGAAGCAGTACGGCCTGGCTGAGACTTCTGCTACCGCTCTGGCGGTTGCGTGCGGTCAAGGCTCAGACGTGGGACCCGATTCGCGAATTGCAAAGGTCACCGATCCCGAGGTCATTGACTTCGCTCGCAGGGTGTTCATCGAATTTGGCGGCAAAGCACATTTGACAGAGAGCGCAACCGTCGAAGGCTTAAGTGTGGAGAATGTCCGCGCTTCACCAAGACACGATGGTATCGCCATGTACGTGTCACGCATTATCCGTTCAATCTGGAACACCCCGATCATCACGGAGGCTGTCACTCCCACCGGGCCTGTTCTCACATCGACACATCCGATCACCAAGTTACAGGAAGTGCAACGCTCGTTGGCTCAACTTCAGGAGTTCCTTGAATCAAACAGATCCTTCATTGAAGGTCTGGCCGGTCCAGAGGCGCTTGGACGCGCATCGTCGCGACAAGAAGAGGTTGAGCTTCAGGGCGAGAACAGAGCGCTTACTAGCTTGTTGCAGATGATCAACAACATTGTTGAAGGCATATCTTTCGTTCTGGTACTCTTTGAGGAGCGCGTAGAAGACATCTTGGTTCTTCTGCCGGATCCTCAGTTACAGGGGAGAGTGCGTCAACTCACCTTCCAAGGCCTTTTCTCTGTCAAAGAGGGCAAAGAGCTTGCAAGGGAATTGGTCAAGGCTATAGTGAACCGTAACATCGCCAAGGGTTCTAACGTCGAATCTGTTGCTGAAGCCCTGCGGAGAAAGTGTGGCAGCTTCTGTAGCTCAGACGACGTCGTCATTTTCAAGGCACAGGAGAGTCTGAAGAAGGCCGCCGATTCTGGTGCGAATGCCGAACGTGGGCGCATCCTGCTCAATGACAGTCTGAGATTGTTCGAGCAAGTGGCGAAGAGTCTGAGTTACGAAAACCTGGCTGCTACAGTCAATCAGTACATTCAGCTCGAGTTCTATGCGGGTAAGTCTACCTAACATTCCATTCTTCGACACTACTAATATGTTGGTTAGGTGCTATTAGACTTGCTTTGAAGGTTGCGCAAGAGTGGGACCGCGGTAACAAAGCTCTGTCTTGGGTACGAGACAAGAGCGAACAGAACGTCGATCCGAATGACGCACGTCGAGAATACTTTGACAAGCGTGCCTCTTGCTACACATTGATCTGCAAAGTCATCGAAGCTGTAGACCACGCCTACAATACCCAGGGCCCTGTGCCCGACGGTGTCATCTCCCCGGTCACGCGTCGCAAGCATGAAGCGTATGAGCAAATCAACAACTCAGACGACGAGGTCTTCCAAAACTACCTGTACGACTGGTACATGCAGAACGGTTGGGCTGAGCGGTTGCTTGAAATCAATTCTCCTTTCGTTGTCGACTACCTGCGCCAAAGCTCGGAGACGAACCTCGCGCATGCGGACCTGTTGTGGCGCTACTACGCCCACTACAACGACTACCTCAGCGCTGCTGAGACACAATACCAGCTTGCTAAGAGCACCCTATCCTTGACACTGGAAAAGAGGATTGAGTATTTGTCGCGCGCAAAGGCGAATGCTTCGACGCGGATGAACGGTTTCGCAGAGAACGGAGTCCGCAACAGGCAGTCAAGACAGGAGCTTCTGCGAAACATCACCGACCACCTAGACATTGCCAACATTCAAGACGATGTGCTACAGAGGATCAAGGGTGACGAGCGTCTTTCCGGTAAGCGGAGAGAGGACGTCATCGCCCACCTCAACGGCCAGATCCACCCGCTTGACGAAGTAAGTTGTTGCAAAATTCTTTGGGGGTGACTTGACTAACGATGCGTTAGCTCTACCACGACTACGCCGACCAAGCAGCATACTACGATATATGTCTTTTGATATACCACGCCGCCGACTACCGCAGTGTGCCAGACATTCGGTCGACATGGACTAACCTCATCGACCAAACTCACCGGAACGCTCTCGCCGACCGACAGGGCGCGCCTTGGGAAATTGTTGCGTTGAAGGTCGAGGACCTTGGTCACCGAACCAACCTCAACGACAACGTCTTCCCCGTCAATATCGTCCTACAACTCCTCCTCCAGTACGACCTCGAGTTCTACGTACACGATGCCAATGCGCCGAATGCGCAGAACCTCGCGCTCAACAGCAATCTCACGTGGCCGATCGACGTTTTCCTCAAACTTAACGCGCCGTTCGAAAGCCTGGTTGCCACACTGGAAGCGCTGTGGTATGCGCAAGAACAGCCTTTCGCTGGCCGAAACCGCAAGCTGCTCGTTAAGTGGATTATCTACCTTGTGGAGCAATGGGGCGCAGTAAGCAGACGAACTGGCGCACTATTCGGCGGCCCTGAGAACGCCATTGGTTTAGCGGAGGTGATGCGCATCATCTTAAGCAGCGACGTTTTGGGGCGCGACATGGACGACCAGGCATGGATCCAACGTGCTCGGGATCTGAGTGCTGTTCTTGAAGAAGCTGCGCGCTGAGAAGTCATGGTCTGAGGTGGAAGTAGAAGGAGCCACGGATGAAGCGTTGTGAAGATATACAGAAAGCGATGATTGTGTATTTTGGGTTGTTTCTCTTCGTTAGCATTCTTGCAGCGCGAGGCGTTGAATAGGTTGCATGAGTATTGGGACGGTGACTGGCGTAAAAAGCATTTGAACCCATCTTGTAGGACATAAGACGAAGACGGAGCATAATCAAGGCTAGTGTATTCTTGAATGAAGTATTATAATGGAAGGACATTTGATAGGACCTGTGAGACGTTGTGAGGTTGAGCTTTGGGAACTAGCGATTTGTCGGACTTTAGGGTTCACGTTAACGCCGTATCGATACGCGTTCCCAAGCATCGTCACTCTGCGCATCTTCTCCAACACTTGTACCCGGACTCCATACTCCACATCTTACAGCTCCCACCGCGACAAACAAATACTTCCGACCGAATCGCCACGCCATGTAACCCATCTTCCATACCTCACGATCCTCCGTCCCAACCCCCACACAATGCCAATCTGCATCTCATGCCGCACCCCGGTGCGCACACTCTACACGACCTACTCCAAAGCCGACGACCGCGCCCTCGGCAAAGGCGTCCGCCTAACCCAATGCCCCGTATGCAAGAAATTCGCGGACAAATACGTCGAGCACGATTTCGTAGTCCTCTTCATCGACCTCGTGTTGATCAAAGCAGAGGTGTATCGGCACTTGCTGTTTAATCGGTTGGGGAAACATGAGGGACGGTTGGGGTTTGATGTACGTATTGCCGATCAACGTTGTCCGAGATGCTACTGTAGTGAGCAAAGGTATTTGGAAGACACAATAGTAGCTAACATGATTCCAGCGATCCATACTCCGCCTAGGCATCCTCCTCCTCCTCTTCGACGTCTACCTAACCTGGGCGCGCATCGAAAAACTGCCCCTCCCACCCACATCGCCCTACCACCCAACACCCTACTCCCCCTCCTCACCCGCCCTAAACACAACATCCACAAGCCCCCTCGTCGCACCCCACGACGGCATCACAAACGCCGTAGTCCTCCAAGCCCACCCACTAGGCCTCCAATACCTATTCTTCCTCTGCCTCGTCACCCTCTGCACACTAGCCTTCCACCTCCCCATCCGCCTCCTCTGCGCCTTCGACGCTGCGCGCCTCCCCAGCTCGACACTCCGCCGCTTGTGGCAGAGATGTATACCCAGTTTCGACTCCCCTACACCGCTATCGACTGCACTGCTGGTGAGCAGTTGCACGAAATTGTTTCCTATACTGCTTATTATATGGGACTACGATTTACCCAGCTCGGCTACGGCGGTGAGTTGGGCGGTTATCGTGAATAATATTGCGGCGCTGGAGATACTCATGGATTGTGGGTATGTGAGGGCGGGTGTGTTGGTGGGGATAGGGGCGGGGCTGAGGACGGCGGTTGGATGGGGGATTTTGAGGGCGGCGGGGTTGGGGACGGGGTGGGAGGGGTATTGGAGGGAGTGGACTGTTTTGGGGGGTGTTTGGGAGTGGGCAAGTGGTGCGGTCAGTGTTTCTTGAAGGCATATTGAGATTTGGGAAAGTTGGTTATGAGCGTTTTGTTTGGATGGAAAGCAATGATACCCCAATTGATATTTGTACAAATCGAGAAAGACTCCGTAGTACGCCCAAAAGCCAACTATACACATGCGCTCAAGTATTCGGCAATGCACTGCTCTCGTCGTCCTTTGTCGATGGCTTTCGATACGGGAGCCAGACAGGACGCAGTTGCTAGAGCAATATGCATCTCTCCAGCATATGCCCTACTGCTTCCTATATCTCGTCTTGTCCAAGCCACCCCAAGCCATCATTCCTTCAACGTGCAAATGCCTATTCCCCGCGCGTCTAGCATCCCCAGTCGAGCTCCGCTAACGCCCTCCATTGTATTCCGGTCGCAGACCGTTTCGTACAGGCGAGATAAGAGGATGAAGTTGTGCGAGGAAAGTAATCGCCCACATGATATACATGGCCGCGGCAGAGAGAACGAGTGTAGATCGCCAGACCCTGTCCGATGGAGTTAGCCCAATGTGTCTCTCTTGCTCCTTGCATCTCAAAATGCTCGTCTTAGCTCGCTGTCGTTGATGTTGATGTCCACATCCTCGCTCGTCTCATGCTCATTGCTGAAACGGACTCGTCTCCCATCGCCTGCGCCGCGCTTCTTGCACACTGCTAGCAGCTTCTCTCGCGCATTCTCATTCTCGTCGCGCAGACACGGCTTTGGGGGTGCGGGTGGTGATTTGGGTGGTGACTTGGTGCTGGACGAAGAGATGGTGGGAACATACGTTTGGTTCTCGCCTTTGGGAGCTAGGAACCAGGCGGCGCCGCAGAAGATGACGGTGACGATGAGGCCGATGATTGGTGCCCAGCTGTGGGTGTGTTAGTGGTTTTGTGGGTTGGAGAGCTTCGTTGAGCGGATCGCGGAACTGACCCGTTCGCCATTGTAGGTCGTGGTTTGGGAAGTGACGCGCGGGTGAGATGGTTTATGGGGGTTTGCGTGTGGCGGTGCGGCGGTCAGGTTTTGTTCGACCTTCGGGGATGGTGAAGTGCGTGTAGAGGGAGCGGATGTCGTGATGTGGAGATGGCTTCGCCGTGGTGTCGCGAGCTGCGAGCTTGCGATGACGCTACGGATCGTGCTTCCAGGCTTGGCGCGTCGTGATGGTGTCACGTGGGAATCCACATGGTTACCTGGAGTAGGCTCCGAGGTCCTGCAGTCTTTGTTTGAACATCAAGTCCTTCTAACTTTTCCTTGCGTCGCCTCCTTATCGCTGTAGCGATCATCTGGCATAGAAAACTCCTACGCGTGTTTCCAAGTCTCTCTTGCCGCCGTTGCGCGTTCTTGCCCGATCGAGCATGCCCAGCATGGAGATCGTTATGCTTCACAATATCGATGCGCCTCACTTCTTTTCATTTTACATTCCTGTCAGCCTCACTCTTCTCTCAAAAAGTATGGAGCACCTCCATGATCTCCTGATCTTGTCTGATGTCTCAGGGTTTCCATGTCTATAAGGTCTCTCGTACTCCTACCTACGAGCACTCCTCTCCCTTTCTTCCTTGCTTTACTTTCTCATCAGTTTGCTTTGCAAGCTTGGCCAAAAATCTGACTGGAGGCCTTAACGGGAATCTGGACCTTCTGGATCACTTCAGGCTATATTTCCTTGAGCCTTTCCCTGGCCCTGGGCGATACTATCCTGGACAGAGGACCTGCGGCTTCGGTCACAGTCCAACTAAGGCACGATGAACGCCTAGGGCAGGCGTTGGGAGAGCTTACTTGGGCCTCCATGTTGAGTATTCATGAGCCACACTGAGACTCGGAAGGTTGAAATGGATGTTCGATTCCGGTCAACATCCAGGATACTCAGCCTTGCCTCGGCTACTTAGCCATGGTACCTGCATCCGACAGCCTTGTCCACAAAACCGTACATCGGGACACTGGAAACTCCCCACGTTCCGCATATCGGAGCTGTATACATTCAGGGCTACAAATACGTCTTCCCTTGTATCGAGTCATTCGACGTGGTGGTCACAAACTTAGCGTACAGAAGCGATAACGCGGTGTGACATGGAATGCATGTGGCTGTCGGCGTCTGCATGACCGTCCAGGAAGGTTTCCAGGGGCGGCTCACATCAATGTTGCAAAGGCGAAGGGCAATTGCGCACCCTCACATCTGGGGCAGGTTCCCTTTCACCCATGCAATTGCTGGTTTGCGATTTCTGGACCTCAAGATGACGAGATCCGGAGAACGCATCGGCAATGTTCGGCCCCTCGTTTGTAGCCGACCCCAGGTATCGGCATCGCATGCTACAGGATAGATAAGATACACAGCTTCATGCATAGCACCAGGGTACGGTGCTAGACTTTTGAGCGTCCAATACCATCAAGGTTGCTTCCAACCAGCCCATGGGATTGGACACTCGTTTTCACAAGAATGTAGAGATGGCCTATCCTTTCACCGCTTGTTTGGCGAGGGGATGCCTCGTCGTTCCCAGATGCTTCGCAAAGAGGATTCGAGTCTTTATCGCGGTTCTTTCGAGTATGCGTGCGGAGCCGCAAAAAAGTTGTACGATAATGAGCGACTGCTTCACTCGACTCTCGTCATTACTGGCTCGGGTAACATCCAGACACTGCGAACCTTATTCTGCATACGATCATTATGCTCTATTGGCCTGATCTGCAGATACCCTAGTCAGCTTTGGTTCATCATCTTGGCGAAATGCGGCCGGTCATCGCCCAGCCGAGATGAGTATTTTGGGCTCACTCGAAGTGAAGCGATGAATGACAGGGTCGAGTACAGCTTCTCTGCACGAAGCTCCATAGCCGTGCGTAACCTCGTACAGTACTTCTATAGCCTCGTTGACAAGGCATCAAATCAATGGGAATAGACAGGTGGTTTCGAGGGCATGGTCTAAGCGCTCAGCGTTACAGTGGATGAGTGGTACATGTACGACAACAGTGCTACCATCTTCGTAGGACATTGGCGAATTGATCGACGCCACATGCCTGTAATCGAAAGTTGTTCGGAAGTCTTTCAATCGCCGATTCTTTTGCAAGGGCTGTATAGCCAGCCCGATTTGAGGACGGGAGGCCCATTTTGAGCCACAGGACACCGGGCATAATATCTACCTGTGCCTTGCTTTTTTTCGAGGCACACAACGCAATTTGACCACGATTTTACCTGCGCTGGCTGAATTACTTCACTTACTTGCTAGCTTCCCAAACTTTCGGTCCTCTAGTCTGGTGATCCAACCGGCTTTATTATTCGCGCATGCCTTCGACTGATACCGTACAACAATCTTCTTCATAAATACCGAGACGGTTTCCTGTTTTAGCCATCAGTGTTTCCCCCAAAGCTATAGCTTTACGAGATGGAATTTGATGAGATAGTATTTGTTGAGCATCCAACCTCGATGCCAATCCTTTCGTCTTCCCGACCGCTTCCGGAACCCAGACCAAACGGCAAACAAGCAAATCTCAATCCGTATCAACAAGAGGCCCGTTCTGCCGTAGAGATGCCTTCCTCTCCAGTCGAACACGGCTCTTCCGAACGCAATCTTCCATCCATACCAATAGAGGAGGACATGAAAGAACGGATGACTGAGAGTGGGTCATCACGGCAACGCCAGGGCTCAGATTGGTCTCTCAGTTCGGACACACGAAGTGAAGATATGACGAAGCACGAAGAAAGCAGTCTGGGGGCGTCTACTGCAGGACAAGCTGCTCCATTTCCACCACCACCACCACCACCGCCGCCACCGCCGGTTGATTGTCACTTTGGCCCCGGAGGATTCAATTCTCAGATCCCTCATCCAGTAAGTTCGAAACCATTCCAGAGAACGAGAACTTGATCTGACTGTGTACTTTAGCCGCCTCCTCCTCCACCTCCTGTATGCAATCTACCACATACCCTTTGTGGGATGCTCGTAAGCTGACAATAGCAGCCTCCACCTCCACCAGGATTACCAGACTTCATGAACGCTCCGATGATGACCTCAGCACTTCCTCCCCCAGTATGTTCAGAACGCGGTCAGATCAATGCATTGCTGATCAATACTAGCCCCCGCCCCCGCCACCCGGTCCTCCGCCCGCATTGACCATGAACCCATGCAGTGTAGGAGAGGAAGTGTACACCCCGAACCAGTTCATCCAAAAGCAGTACTCCAACGAGTCCATCTCCGACTTCGCCAGCCGTGTAATTCGCATCGGGCCATTCAGACGCAATGTCTTCATGACACTTCATCCGGCTAGTGCGGCAGACTACAAAGAGTACGAGTGGCTTATCAAGTACGGAAGCTCTGAAATTTGGTACGAGAAGCCTACCAAAGCGCTTCTCAGGAGTGTCAAGACGCTCGAGGCAAATCGACGCGCACCGGGTGAACTACTCCCTCTACACAATGCCAGACCAGTGAGTCTTGAAACGCCCAAAGTGTGGGCTTCGGCGGCCATGACGACACCGACCGACGACGACATATTTGAGTGTGTTGCTGATCATCCCATGGATGATGGCTACGACACCGGGACATGTCACCAATGTACTGAGGCCAAGTCAGAAGCACTTGAAAGCACACCTCTCGTCTACTGTCTAGTGTTCAGTACCTGCCAAGCAGCCGATCCTTTCATTCACGGCGCCCACTTCAATGGCCGCCAGATCTACAAGCTTGTCAAGTGTGGTAGCCGCGAGGCTGCAGTTGCAGAGACTTTTTACGCCGCTGGTGTCAACGGATGGAGTCTAGCTTTTAGCTGCATCATGAAGCTAGGCGACGACTTCGAAGAGAGATGCGGTACGGCCAAAAAGGTCAACGTGCTATGGATGCTGGCTGAAGAGGAGGCAGACGAAAAGATCGTCAAGATATTCTACTAACGTACAAAAAAAGCGCAGTGTTTTCGGGTCGTATTTGCTTTCCATTCATATCCCTGATATTTCCAAAACGATATTTTCTGTATTCCAAAAGCGACATCTCTCCCCTCTCCAACGGTAGCGCCTTTGCGCATGTCAACATCGCCCGGTCATTCCTCAACATAGACCGGTGGACACGTCCAGCCCCTTCGGAAGGAACGCATCGAGACCTGTACCACGTCGACGCATACCACGAGAACACATGTGCAGCCCACCGATATATGCGGCCCAAAACCAGTCGCATATGCCATGTGTTACACTGGTTCCCTCAACCAGTCTGTTGTGCAGTCTGTACACCCTCGCTGCCTTACTACCGATATTGTCGAGTCGCTCAAGAAGCCCGACAAAGCTCTTCAGATGCTGTTTACGGTAGATTGCAGTGGCATGTCCTCCAATCAGCGGTGTCCACGAAAACGGACGTGTCGTACGAGGCTTTACCCCTCACATCGCTTTCCTTGCGTTTCTATTGTTGTTTGGGTGTTGAGATAACGTCTGTTCGCTGGCATGTTTGTGCTGTGTTTTTTGTGTGTTATTTTGGCGTTGGGATACGTATGAAGGCTACAGGATAACGATTATGACCGGCGGTTGGTATATGATACAGGGCTGTTTCGGGTGTGGCGTTACGGTAGACATACGCTTTGGGATCGGTATTGCGGGAATGGTGCGTCCAATGCTGGTGGAGCACATGGCGCTTGGGTATAACGACGCTACTGTACTGTATCATTAGGTCAAATTGGGCGGATGGGTGTACGACTAGTGTGCTTTTCGAATGCTAACTATGACTAAATCACTCTCGTGTGTCCATTCCTAAGTGAAGTGACGTATTGTGTAGTTTCATGTTTAGTGGATAAGATTGAGTCGAGCAGAGCCTTTCCTCTCTATCATGTCTCGTCTCTTCGCCTGGTTTACATCCGGTGAGAAAGCCTTAGTGTTCACCCATCGCTAATCGACTATAGCGCACTACGTACTTGGTACCACCGCTGTTCCTCTTCTACACTAAAGATTGCAGTGCAGCGCCCGTGTCCGACGTGGCAACGGTACACGACC